GTATTTCAGAAGTAGATCAGAACACAGATGAGCTACCTGCAACCTGCCAAAGCAGAGCAGGAACCGTTCTGGTATCTTGTATCTCAACAGATATTTCTGAGGAAGACAAAAATCTCCCTGCAGTAAAACCTGCACTGGTAAAACATTGTAGGATAGGAACTTTGATAGATCATCTTATAGGAGAGACAGTTTGTCCCAGGAGAAAAACAGGACTTGGATGGAAACTTTTAAACTGGCTCTTAAGAAGTAACTGGTAAAAATACTTTCAGACAGAGTAAGGTGCTTCTCTGGAAGGGGTTTGTTTGTATGGAAATGGCATTATAAGTGTGTGCTGAGAGATATTCCAGGCAGAGCCAGGCCATGGGCTTGTGTGTGCTCTCCATACCCTGAAGGGTACCTGCTCTGCCACGTGTGCAGAAGCTCTTCTAGGTTCAGGGACTGGTTTTGAGGCTGAGATCAGGGGTCAGGATTCACTCACCAGGGTGCAGAAAGTGCCTGCCTGCTCTGTGACTGCTGTTGGCAATCCTCCCATCAGTTACACATCACCTCAGCAGCTTCCATCCTTTATTGCCATGCAGATGTCCACACAATTCCCTATGAAGTGAGGGAATTTAGCCCACTGACAATGGACTTGAGTTAGTTTTCTTTAAGGAACACTTCAGATTAGCACAAAGATTCCCCAGGGTCCACAGGTTGTGAATGTGCTGGCCAGTGTGTCAGCTACAAGCTTACACTGCAGAGCTAGGGGAAAAAAACGAAGAAGCTCTTTTTAAATGCAATCTGTTAAGTTAAATATGCAAAGCTTCATTTTGCCCTAGGATGCAAGAGTCTGGGTTTTATTATTTCTGATTGAAAAGGCAGGGAAATGTAGGGAGGCAAAATGTAATTCCCCAAGTTAATTACAATTGCCTGCACACATGCAGCTGGAGGTGTAACATGTTCATGAGTCACTGCACAAGAGCCTCTGAGCTTTGCGGTGGTCAAACCCAGAAAGCCCAAATTCTTTGACTTCCTTTTACTCACTGGTTGCCCACCAGCAGGTTTGTGCTGACAGCAGAACCACATTAACAGCTGTGTTTTCCCTTCTCCCGCTGGTTCCAGTTACTCCCAGGTGATGGCAGAGTGGCCGGTGGCTGTGCTGGTGCTGTGCTCAGTGGTGGCTGTGGTCTGCACGGTCACTGCTCTGCTGGTTGGGAATCTGCCTGACTTTTCAGAACCCTTACTGGTAAGTGCCTACAGATCATACATCAACATGAACATAAGGAAAATCCATGACCAAACTGATACATTCTTTCTGCCATGTAAAATGAGCCTTTAATTTCCTTTCCACACAAACCAGGATACTCCTCTTGCTCCCCTTCCACTGCTGGAAGGCTGGGGCTGCCCAAAAGGACTAGCTGGGCTGGTGGAGATGGGATGGAGGATCTGGCTTTGGCTCCTACAGCCTTTATGTGAGGCTCTTGAAATGGAGGGACTACCTCATTTGAGCACTGCTGCACAGGACCTTAGTTTCTGTGCAGGATTTCACATTTTCTAAAGTCATCCCTGTCTCTCATTAATGAAGAATCTGGGAAAAGTAAGAATAGACTAGAGTTTGTCCAGGAAGAGGAAAATTACTCCCATTTCTGTGAATGACTATTTTACTTGCAGAGAAGAAGAGTCTTAATGTTCTTGGGGAGAGAGAACTGTAACCATCCTTCCCTAGACAGGAAAGGGGATTTTTTTGTCCTGTCAGCTCTGGGAATGCAGTATTTCCAGAGGAAATTCAATTTGTGCCTCTCTCCAAGATGCAGTAATAATCTCATCCAGTTTCTGTGTCGAGGAGGAGGATTAAGGAAAGCTGAGCTAAACTAAAACGCTGATGACAAAACCCCTTTGCTTGGCTGCAGGGTTTCAAGCCACGGGATACTGACATTGGCAGAAAGCTCATTGTGTGGAGGAACATTGAGAGCCACACAGGCTACAAGAAGACCTTGTCCCTTTCTCCATATGCCAAAAAGAAAAGGTATGTGAGGTGGTTTGGAGAGATTGAGAAAGATGCTGGCTGTAATGATACTGATTCAATGTTGCAAGATACCTATGTGAGTTACAACATACATGCCTTTTAAAAGCAAGCAAGGCAGAGTTTCAAGTCTCTTTGCCTGCAGCAGACTTCCTATTCTGGAAAGCTGGAATTAGGCTCTGAGCTTTTCCTACCTTTAGTGCACTGATTAAGAGACTGCAGAGGCAACTGAGCACATCTGCACAAGGGGATGTGGTTTCCCACTCGGTCTCATGATACTAAAAATCTCCCACTCAAGCAATGCTCTTTGAGGGCTGTGAGGACCCTTAATGCTGCAGCAGTGTTGTGTGGCACCAGAGCCTTGTCAGTGAGTATAACCCAGAGCCAGACAATCCCTACTTACAACAATGATCTGATCTCTTGCTAGCTATGATGACATTGGCATTAGCAGAGGACAGAAAGCTGCTCAGGGAGAACAAGAAGTGAGGACACGGAGAATGGTGGAACAAATCTATGGAGCAGATGGTTTCTTTTGTGGTCCCCCAGGTGAGTGAAGTCTTACTGAGTATCACACCCCCAGAACTCGACAGCACCCAGAACTGTCAGAGTGGTTTAGGACACAAGGAAACGTTCTGAATATGCTCTAAGAAAGCAGCGTGTCCCAGCCCACCCTGTAAGAGCTGTGTCACCTTCCAGGTAGAACACACATAGATAGAAATAAACCTTATCTACACACATAGAAATACACCTTATATATCTACATAGAAATATACCTTAACAGCACCAATAAAAGGACTAATGTTTCCATCATATACCCATATCAAAACTGAATACTCTAAAAAAAAGGCACATGCCCACTCCCTCTCTGTTCACATTCCCTCACTGTTCTTTCTTTTCTTCTTAAGAAACATAAATGGCAGTAAAACCTGGGCAGAAAAGCAAAAAACTCCAGTACTCCCCAAATTTGTCCCAAAATGTGTGCTAGGAAGTAGAAAAAAGAGGAACAGCATGCAGATACTTTTACTCTCTTCCCTGCCTCTACTCCCCCTCTGAAACCAAACCCGAAACCTGCAGGTCCTTGGGAGATGCTGGCTGAACCCAAGCTCCTCACTTGGAGCAGGGATGCAGAACCAGACACCAGTCATCACTAGAAGCATGCTGACAGCACGGAGAGTGTGTTTGAAAACACCCAGTGCTGCTCTCCTGCTGCTGACAGATGGGAGAGGAGCAGAGGTCAGGTCACATCAGGCAGATGCTACCACTCACTACAAGTCTTTGTGACCTGGTTCCCATCAGGGATCCTCCACAGCAGTTATACAGACAGTGATATAGATGTATTTTTTTCCCTATGAACAGTCTACACAAGCAGCTTGGCTGATTCATCATTATCTAATCCTTTTTATATATATTTTTATTTTCTTTCTTTCAGAAAAGAGCTATTCCCAGCTGGTATTTATGTCCACAACTGCTGGGAGCTTATGGAACTTGCAAGCTATTCAGTCCATGTGCCAAATTGAACAAGACAAGGTTAGTAATGTCAGGAGGAACATAGATACATGCTGTCTCTTTTCCAATTGCTGTGATCTTTAATCTCTAGCTGAAAGGGAGCCAGACAAAAATAACAAAAGCTGCAGAGCAGGTTTCAGCCTAGAAGACTCCAAAGCATTGCACCTACTTAGCAATACACCTTCCAACCCAAAACATGCTGTGATTCTATGAGTCTATGATTCCACCTGCCACTAAAGTCCAGCTGCAAAGTAGCAGTTGCCATTAAACAGGAATAACCAGACACTGCACAAGCACTTGGTCCAGAAGCCAAAAGTGTCTGCCAGAAGCCACTGAGAATTTGGGGCAGCAGAACCTAATTACTAAAATGGAGCTATAATTTTGGAGGCTGTGACAGCAAGTTTTGTGAGTGGGAAGTTTAACTGGATTAGCTGTGTTTGCCATAGGATCCAAAGTTCCGCATTAGAGGTTACAGACTATAAATCATAGACTCACAGGGTGGTTTGGGTTGGAAGGGGCCTTAAAGCTCCTCCAGCTCCAGCCCCTGACAAGGGCAGGGACCCCTTCCACTGGAGCAGCTTGCTCCAAGCCCCTGTGTCCAATCTGGCCTTGAGCACTGCCAGGGATGGGGCAGCCACAGCTTCTCTGGGCACCCTGTGCCAGTGCCTCAGCACCCTCATAGGGAAGAGCTTCTGCCTAAGAGCTCAGCTCAGTCTCCCCTCAGGCAGGTTCAAGCCATTCCCCGTGGCCTGTCCCTACAGGCCCTTGTCCCAAGCCCCTCTCCAGAGGCATGACTGCCACACCTGGAGGGGAGGGCTGTGCAAGGAACAAGGAACACTGTGGCCCTGCATGCAGATGGGGCCTGACGTGACACTTCCCCCCCATCTGTTTTTCAGATACGCTCCCATGTTCACTTTAGAGACCTCTGCCAACGTACTGAAGCCAACGAATGCTGCCCAAGCTGGTCCCTGGGGAACTACATTGCTGTCCTGTACAACAGGTCTTCATGTCTGGAGATAACCCAAGGAGACATCTCCCATACCCTGGCCCTCCTTCGTGCCTGTGCTCCAGACTACCACAGAGGTATCCTCACTCCATCCTGCATAGGTCCTGAGCCTGTGAGACAGAAACACTCCCAGTGTGCCCAAGTCCCAGAAAAATGCACCCGTTTCAATGCCATCTACCAGCTTCTTCACTTTTTGGTTGACAGGGACTTTCTCAGTCCCCAGACAATGGAGTACCAAGTGCCATCTCTCAAATACAGCCTGCTGTTTCTGCCTACAAGGAAAGGTGCATCTATGATGGGGATCTACTTAGACAATCTTGAATCCTGGGATCTGTTTGATAACTATACATCGATCACTGGAATGGACCTGGGCCTTAAACAGAAACTATTCCAGCACTATCTTTTACTGGATACTAAGTATCCAGTCCTGGCAATAGTAGCTATTTTTCTAAGCATTTATTTTTATTTACGCTCAGTCTTTATTACCTTGATGGTCCTGCTCGCTGTTGTCAGCTCCTTAATGATCTCCTACTTCTTGTACAAGGTGGCCTTCAGATTCACCTATTTCCCTTTTGTAAACCTGACAGCAGTCATCATTCTCAGCAGCATTTGTGCCAACCACACCTTTGTCTTCTTCGACCTCTGGAACCTCAGCAAGAACCAGAACCCTTCTGCGGGCCTTTCTCAGTGGGTGAGTCAAACCATGCACCATTTTGCATATCTCATGCTGGCATCTTGCTTCACAACGGGCGCTGCCTTCTATGCCAGCTACATTAGCAACATAACCGCCATCCGCTGCTTCGCCATCTACATGGGCACCGCCGTGCTGGTGAACCTGGTGTTCGTGGTGACCTGGCTCCCTTCTTCAGCTGTGTTGTATGAGCGCTACATAGCAACCACCTGCATTTACAAGCCAGAAGACTACTGGAACAACAGCGGCCATAAGAGAGTCACTCTCTCCCTCCATTACGTTCTCAGGGGTCTCCAGAACACGCTGTCAGAAACCTCCAAGCTGCTCTTTGAGAAGCTTCTGCCTTGTGGGGTCATCAAGTTTCGGTACATCTGGATCTGCTGGTTTGCTGCCCTGGCAATAGGAGGTGCCTACATCTCCTGTTCCAATCCCAAACTCAAGCTTCCGACTCTGGAGACATCATCTCTCCAGGTGTTTAGACTGAGCCACCCCTTCGAGAGGTACGACTCTGAGTACTGCCACCAGTTCATGTTTGAGAGGCTGGAGCATGGAGAAGGGCAGCGCATGCCTGTCACCATAGTCTGGGGTGTTCTGCCTGTGGATAATGGGGACCATTTCAACCCTAAAAGCAATGGCACCCTGGTGACAGATGTCACCTTCACAATCCAAAACCCTGATGCCCAGAAGTGGCTCCTTGAATTCTGCCAAAAAGTGAAGAACAAAACTTTCTATTACCCTGATGCAGAGCAGAAATCTACTGTGTGCTTCATGGAGGAGTTTCTCAGGTGGATGAACAGTCGCCAGTGCTCCCAGCGAGACCACAGCTTTAACCTGTGCTGTAACCAGTTCTCTTTCCCTTATGGAAGCGAAGTTTTCCTGCACTGCATCAAAATGATGCTCCTGGAACAGGGCAGAGAAGGGGCAGAAACGTATGATCTGGGCCTCAGGTTTGATGGGGAGGGAAATCTTGCTGCCTTAGTACTGCAGTTTCAAACTATTTATCACTATAGCTTCAACTACAGCAAAGCCAAACAGTTCTATGAGGAGATCGACCTCTGGCTAACAGAGGAAATGAAAACTGCCCCCGTGGGGCTCCAGAATGGGTGGTTTACCAGTAAACTGGAGCTATACAACCTCCAGCACAGTCTCAGCACAGAAACGATGGTGGTCATGGGGCTCTCCATAGCCATTTCCTTCGTGGTGCTGCTGCTCACTACCTGGAATGTTCTCCTCAGTGTTTTCTCTGTTACTGCCATTGCGGGCACTGTCCTGGTAACCATTGGCCTTTTGGTCCTCTTGGAGTGGCAGCTCAATGCAGTGGAGTCTCTCTTCATTTCAGCTGCAGTAGGTCTCTCTGTGGACTTTACAGTCAACTACTGTATCTCCTACCATCTGTGCCCCCATTCGGACCGCCTGAGCCGTGTGGCCTTTTCCCTGAAGCAGATGAGCTGTGCCACAGCCATGGCAGCTTCTGCTCTCTTCTCTGCAGGGGTCATTATGCTGCCTGCTACAGTCCTGGCATACAGGAAGCTGGGTATATTCATCATGATGATCAAGTGCATCAGCTGTGGCTTTGCCAGTTTCTTCTTCCAGTCTCTGTGCTGCTTCTTTGGCCCAGAGAAGAACTGTGGGCAGATCCTTTGGCCTTGTGCCCACACCATGAAAGACTATTCTGATGACTCGGGGCTGAACGGGAGCTTTGCTTGTGGGGGGAGCGAGAAGCAAAACCGGTTGCGGAAGGTGCAGGAATCCAACACTGCAAACGAGCAATACGAGCTCCAGCCCTTGTCCAGGAAACTCAGCGACAGTTTTGACAACAGCACTTCCACAAGCAAGCTGTCCAACCGGCCCTCAGTGCTCTCAGAAGACACGCAGGTAGAAGACAACAGATGCCCCCGAACAGGAATGCACCCCTCCCTTGAGAGAGACAGACGGAACCTGCAGGACACCCTTGGAGAGCAGCAGGTTGGCCTGTGTCAGTGTCCTGCCTTGCAAACTTCCTCTCCTTACAAGCACAGCACTTCGGAAGCAGAAATTGAGAGGGAGAGGCTCTGCCGAGATTGTCGATGTCGAAAGTATGGCCTGAAAGCTTGGGATGGGGCTGGGCTGGACCACGTCCAGCCAGCTGCCATGAAAGAAGAAGGGCAGCTCAATAAATCACAGTGCTGTAGTGACACTGCCCAGCAGCAGCCAAATTATACCTCAGACAACAGCCATCTCCCTGCTGCTGACATCTACAAAAATCACAGATGCCTTTGTTCTCTTGGCAGCTCTTTCGACATGCTCAACATCTCCAGTGAGACGTCGATCAGTGATTTTGAGCAAGGCCTAAAGCTTGCTGAATCAGCCAGTTCTTGTCCTGATGTCTTAGAGCTGTCTGATTCGTACAGTCAAGCAGAGAGGGGTTACTTGAACGGGAAGAGAGATACCCTGCGGCTGGACCTGAGGGAGACTGTCTTTGATATCTCTCCAGCAGCATCGCAGCAGAACAGCTCTTCGTGGAAGAATCGATTTGGCTTAGGGAGTGAGAGTCCAGTTGTGCTACCAAACAGCCAGCCAGACATGCCTGACGTTTGGATCAAACGATCAAGTGCACAAAGCTCTGGTTACAACAGCTGAAACCTTGCAGAAAACAGAAGTGTACTCTGGGGAAAGAGGAAGTCGAAATCTTCCTGGAACTGTAAATATCAGTTTTTTCCTCCCACCTCTCCTGGAGCTGAGGCTATTTCTAAGTATTTCAGCTGTGCAATTACCTGTGTTTCCACAGAACCAGCAAATCTGATATTAGAGAGGATGTGAGATCAGTCTTGATGGAGTCCAAGCCCTTTGACCTTCCAGTGTCTGGTGCCATATTCACAGCTGTACTGCAAATGTTATTGAGTAAACCTGTGTTGTCATTCCTTACAAGGTGATTAGATTTTGTTTTCTTGTCAAGGTCACATAGGTGAGAAATAATGAATCTCCCCAGATATTTAATGTCAGAGAAAGAGAGCTTATGGGGGGGGAAAAGGGAAGAAAACCTGCAGCTATTGCAAACCTGGATATCAAGTGAAGAGGGTGTTGTTAATGAAGTTGTTTTCTAGTGAATCAGAAACTACTTTATGTGACGTGCAGGTTCACAGATCTCATCAGACAGTCCAGATGTTCTAAACCAACGTCTGAGTTGGCACAGTCTCTTCCTGACTGAGGGGGCTGCAGAACCCAGCCCTAACCTGTTCCCAGTAACACTGTCAGTCTGATTTATCAGCAGCAATTCCGGTACTGCCAAAGATGTTCAGTGTGAGCTTGCCCCTTTGAGAAGTGTCCTCGTGCCCTCGGTGGCTCGGGTGCTTCCTGTGTTGTCTTCACAGGCTGTTTCCACTTGAGGCATTCCCCACAGATGTGTAGCTCTCAATAAAGTTTATCTGGTGAAGCTTTACTTTTACTTTTCCTTCTTCTTTTATGAGAAACGAGCAGGGAAACAAACACTTCCTTGCCTTGCTCTATTGAACCACGGAAAACATTCTCTAGACAAGCTGATGTAAAATAAAGGCGTATGGCAAACTTTCCTAAACCTGAGTGATGCTTCATTTGCACCAACATCTTTCAATATATGTTCCAGTACAACCACCAACAGGAAAGCACAGATCTTAACAAGATTTGCTCCCTCTGACACCCACAGGTAGTTTTCAGTGCTCTGTGGGAGACAGCCACAGCTGCCTGATGTGCTTTGGGAATACACTTTCTTACAGCGAATAACTGTGTTTGAGGTACACGATGTGTTCTGTCTCACATTTCCATGGTGCAGCCTTACACTGGGTGTCCTGGTGCTCCCATACTGGGTGTTCTGGTGGGTGTTTGGCAGCCGGAGCTGCCCTCACGCCCTGAGCCACCCCTGCCGAACCCCGCTCCACACCAGAGCTGTTGCTATTTGCGGGGTTTCTCACCCGTTTTGAGCACTCTGCTGTAAACCACTACAAAAATCCCCAATAAAGCCCATAAACGTTTTAGACAGACCCCTCTTTTCCCCTTACAGCATGTGTGAGGGGTCATGTAACCGCCTCAGACACAAGCCGCACTCCTCACACCCTGAGGGCACAGGCGGGGAGGGCTCCACAGCCCAAAGTGTCCCCCAGGGGCCACAGAGCCCCTTGAGGGCTGCCCGAAGCCACAGTGCAAAGCAGCGGGAGGCCATCCCCGCCAGCAGCCGGCTCCCCTGAGGGCACATGTGAAGGGAAACAGCTTCATCCCGCCCAGGGATCCCGCCATGCCCGCGGCGCCTGCCCTGAGGTGACAGGCGATGAACCGCGCTCACCCCCACCGCACCGCGCCTGCGCGCACTGCCCGCTGTGCGCGGGCGGGGGGGGCGTAGGGAGGGGCGTTGGGTGGCTCTGCGCATGCGCAGCACCGCGGCCGTTTACGGCGGGCTCATTCAAACGGCGGCGGACGGCGGACGGCGGAGCGTGGCCGCCATGAGCGCGGAGCCCTCCCGCATCCCCGTGTACAGCGCGCTGCACCGCGCAGCCCCGCACGCAGGTGCGTACCCGCTCCGGGGGCACGGAGCGCCCTGCCCTGTTCGCCCCGGGCCGCTGGTGTCCGGTCAGGCCCACGCGGGAATGGGTGGAGGGGGGAGCGGTGCCGGTTGTGGAGCTCCGGTACTGCCTTGGCCTGGTGGCTGCGGTGAGGGCTGGTTGCAGGCTTTATTCAGGTGCCTTAAGGCTTCGGTTAATGCTTTTCTTGCTAAACGAGCACCTCCGATGTTGCTGCATCACAGCTCAGCCCCTTGAGCAAGCTCCAGAGCTGGGCCTAAGGAGTATGTGTCCCCACAGGGGATAAAGATGCGCCTTTGATACTGGTTACAGCGATTTAGAAACGTGAGGCACTCAGGTTTAATGTTAAAAACGCGGGGCTAGTCTGTGTTGGTGGAAACACC